AAAGTATTGAGTGAGAATTGCCTACTGACCAAAGCATCCAAGTGTGAGTTTCTACGGGACAGAGTGGATTTTCTAGAGCACATTATTTCAGCCGACGGAGTGGAAATAGACACGAAAAAAATCCTGACCATTCAAGCATGGCACGCGCCGACAAATTTGACTGAACTGCAGAGCTTCCTGGGGTTTGTCAACTACGTGCGCCGGTTCGTCCCCGACATGGCGAAGCTGACTGCCCCGCTGACGGACCTGCTGAGGAAGGGGGTTGAGTACACGTGGGGGGAGAAAGCTGCCTTCTCGATCCTCAACAAAAAATTGTGCTCGCCGCCCGTACTGCACATTGCTGACCCACACCACCCGTTCGAACTGGTCACCGACGCAAGCGACATCGCCGTGGGAACAGTACTGTTGCAGGACTTCGGGAACGGCCTTCAGCCAATCGCGTACGAGTCCCGCAAGGTCCAGCCGCCCGACGCAACTACCCGATACACGACCGCGAGATGCTGGCGATCGTGCACGCGTGCGTATAAAGTGTGGCAATGCTACCTCACCGGCGCAGACGTGACAGTACAGACACACCACAGATCACTAGAGTACCTCCGCGCCCAACCGAATCTCAATCCGCGACAGATCCGCTGGTTGGACGACTTAGAATCAAACTTCCACTACACCGTCACGTACAAAAAAGGAGCGTCTTGCTGATGCACTCACCCGCCCCACTGCCCAACTTCACGCCATCCTACTCGCCCAGACCAACACACTGTTAACAGGCCTATTCACTGTTAACAGGCCTATTCACCGACCCTTTTTTCACGACGGGAAAGTCACAGCAACTGACAGAAGCTAAGGGAGTGTATTACGTAAAAGCCGGTACCAATCGCATCTGGGTACTAGCGTATCCACTGCTGAGGGAACTGTTAATGCAGCAGGCACACGACGGAATTACCTCGGGTCATTTCGGGGTAGAGAAGACGCGATAGCAACTACAACGGTACTGTTACTGGCCAGAGTTGTTGACCAACGTACAGCACCACGTGAGGTCGTGTCCTACGTGTCAGGTGATGAAGAGCTCGCGAAAAAAAAAAAGGCGGGTCAATCGCAGCCGATTCCACCGCCAGAGCGCGTCTGGCAGCAGGTTACCATGGATTTCGTCACAGGGTTACCTTCGAGCCCTGGGGGTAACGACGTGGTAATGGTCGTCGTTGACAGGCTGACGAAAATGGCTCACTGCGCTGCGTGCAGGAAATCGATCTTAGTCGAAGAAATCGCTCCCCGATTCATCGCAACCGTTGTCCGACTGTACGGGATTCCAGCAGCGATAACCTGCGACCGGGGCACGAAATTCACTAGTCAACTACTGGAAGAACTTTTGGGAGCAGTTCGGGACCATGCTACGGTTTAGCTCGTCGTACCACCCCGAGACCGACGGTCAAACGGAGCGGACGAACCAGACCATGGAGCAGCTGATTCGTGTCATGTGCGACGACCCGACAATATGGGAGCAGCAACTGCCGTTGATCGAGTTCGCGTACAACAACGCCACGTCAGCGACGACGCAGCAGTCCCCATTTTACATGAACTACGGGCAAAACCCAACAGTGCCTATGACGTCGAGTCCAGACAACCCCACGCCACGCGCACAACAATTTGTTGAGATCTTGCAAGCTGCCCGAACCAGAGCAGCGGACGCAATCAAGAAAGCCAATATCATAGTGAAAAGAAATGCTGACTGCCGCCGCCGCCCGGTAACGTACCAGTCATGGGATTACATACTGCTCGATACACCGAATTTAAGCCTTCCCATCGTACCAAAACTTTGACCGCGTTACTGTGGACCGTTCCAAACCAGCCACGTGATCACCCCAGTTACCGCCCGTTTACTCTTGCCGATAGACTGGTACATCAGCCCATCATTCCACGTCAGCCTGCTTCGCCCCTACATTCCAAACACAAGTTAACTGCCTCGTCACCGTCCACCATCCATGACTCGCCCTGCATCGGAGCCGATCATCGAGCCCGAGAAGATTTTGAGCCATCGGATTCGACACCCCACAGACATCAGGAGGATCGAGTTCCTCATTCGCTGGAAGGACCGCACACCAACTGAAGACAGTTGGGTGCCCCTAGCCAACATCGAAAACCACCCTGCCCTGCAAATGTACATGAGAAGCCGGAGTTTCCGCGATATACATGCACTTGCGTAGCGGAGGGGGCTTCTTGAGGGGGGGGGGGGGGGGGGGGGGGGGGGGGGGCGCCCGTTATTGCTAACGGGGCTTCGCCAACTTCGCGCGCACTGTTTTACCAAACTTTGCACAGTTGGCCCGGCCGAGTCGGCCGAGTCGGCCTACGCTTCGGGACTAGCCCGAAAGTCGATGCCAGCCTAGCACTAGCTAGCTCACATGCACCGCGTTACCGTTTGCATGTTCGCACATAAGTATTCGCTCAATGCCTTTTTATATTTTGTACTCGTTTGACACATAGTGCTATCTCATTCCATTGCGCCCGTAACACAGCTCACCATTTTTAGCGAATTGCTTGCTACCGCAAATCCAAACGAATCTGGAATATATATTGCACTGCCTGCGTCAGCAGGCAGTGCAATCGAGTCAGCGCGGGCAAGAAAAAAAATAAACCCCAGTCGGGGGCATGCCATCCGAGGGAGCCTCAACCCTAAAATTTTAGGGTTGAGGCTCCCGAATGGCATGCCGTAAGCCATGGGTTTATTTTTTTTGCCCGCGGGCAGCGTGCTGACTCGGTCGGTAGCGCTACCGGGCGCTACCGACCGCTACCGGCTCTCGAAAGTGAAATGTATTGGCTTCTCTTTTTTTGGGAAAGTACATGCCAGCCCCTTAGTTTCAAAATTATCTCAAAAATAGTCCCAACTTTACTCAAATGGTATAACTCATTTGAATTTTGCTCACGCGAGGCCCAAAGTATGTTCAAAACTGGTCCTGCGGGGCAAGATTTTCGACACGTGACCATTTCGCATTGTGTTTTTAAATGCGGGGGCGAAAAATATAAAACCCCTAGGGAACCAGGAGACATTCGAGGGAGGGATCAACCCTAAACACCTGGCGGGTCCCCGTGTTTAGGGTTGATCCCTCCCTCGAATGTATCCTGGTTCCCTAGGGGTTTTATATTTTTCTCCCCCGTAAAAAAAATCGATGCGAAATGAACACGTGTCGAAAATCTTGCCCCGCAGGACCAGTTATGAACATACTTTGGGCCTCGCGTGAGCAAAATTCTAGAAAGTGGTACTTTTTGAGTAAACTTGGGGCTAAATGTGAGAGAAATCTGAAACTAAGGAGCTGGAATGTACTTTCCCCTTTTTTTTTCCGCCATTCTTAGTGAGGTGAGTGGGAAGCAACGGAGGGTTCTGGTGGTTCCAGGTGGGCTGGCTGACTGGTGGTGGTTGTTTTGCTTGCCACTTGAGTACCTTATCGATTTTTTTCCCACCACAGAGGTGCCTGACAAGCCGCCTTCGATAACTGGCGTTGATTGGTGGATGTGCATGCCTAGAACCATGGCAACCGAAATGTGCGATACTGTATGCTGCTAACTGGTTATCCACAAATGGCGACAAAAGTCATCACCTCACTTGCTTCCCTGAGACTGCTTTAGTGGATTGGCTGGCGTGAAAGGGGACGAGCAGATATGACGTAAGCTTTGAAAAGTTCCACGTTTGCGGCGTGACTGCTGACCACGATTCTTGCCGTGTACGACGCGATTCACGTGACCAGCGGCATGCAGCTGGAATGGCCAATCGGACCTCAAAAGGACTCATCCGTCTCTACGATTGGTGTATCAAATTCAAATTTCGAGCCAATGAGCCACTACTCTCAGCTGAAAACGACACACACCATCCACAAGGAATTCAGGAAAAACTCGAGTGGTGTTGCTTGTTCAAAAGTGCAAGCAGGGAGGAGGAGCCGCAGGAGAGAGGGCGGAGAGGGTTTAGGTTGGGCACAAAAACCTTCTCAGACATCCAGGATACCTCCACATCGGATAAGCGTCCACGTGGACGAACCCCTTCGATTTCCTGAGCATGTTACAGATTCTGTTCAGTATTCTTTTGTTGGGAAAAGTAGAATATCCGGATCACCCCGATCATTTGTACCAAATACCTGCGCCTCGCCCCCTCGAACTTTGGGTGTGGATGAGGTGTTGCGCGCCATAGTATTTCCCCAACATCTTCTCGCTTGACCATGGGATTTTAGAACAATTCAAGTTCCACGAAAGCAAACCAGCTCAGAACACCTCGATGCCAGACATCCGCAACCGCAGAGGCGAATCGACGGGTACCAGAGAATTCCACCTTTCTCCAGTTTCGCGTACGTGGCAGCTCTCGCGATTGGCTGTTAAACAGCCGGTGACAATTCTCCTCTCAAGGGGACGGAAAGGAACACCGCAACTGGCCGCGTCGCGCTGGCGTCATCGTATCTGCCCATTTTTCTAGACCCAACCCGAGAACCAACGGGTTCTCCTGGTAACCAGGGATCGAATGCCGAATGCCTGACAGGCACGAAGAGGGAATCGAGGGTTGGCGAGGCGGGCGCGTGGGCTGGGCGCCGTCAACCTCCAAGGAAAAGGAATCTCGGTTGGTTCCGCCTGGAGGATGCCTGCCACGCTGGCATGGACCTGGTATGGTTGACACGACCAGATCGGGAAAGGGGGGAAGGAGACGAGGTCACGGGGCAGTTGACGCAGGCAGGGAGGCAGTGAGACCGGAAAAGCAGAGTTAGCAGTAGCATGCCGTGCAAACTGCTCGGAGGAATAACGGAACGGAACGGAAGACGAGATGAAAAGTCCTGCACCTGGCTCAAACAGACAGTTGTAGTTCCTAATCTCAATCTCATTCACACCTTCAAATTTACGATTGCATTTCCGAGTCTTCATCTAGTTTCTAGAACCTCTCTTCAACCCTCTGGTCAGCTTCAGTCCCCTGGCTTCTATCTTTACAGCGTAGTGAGTTTTAGGTTTCTCCTCGACGCCGTCGGGATTCCATGGCGACCTGCACGCTAAACCCCGTCGATATCATCGAGCGTGCCAAGGCCGCGCGTAAGCGCAGGCTTCAGGAGCTCTACGTTACGGGAAGTAGGACAAGGCACGCGAACAGCTCCCGGCTCGACGGGTCCCGGTTCGCGGAAACGGAAGAGGGTTCAGGCGATAGTTGGGATGAGTCAATTTCAGCCGACCCTTCCTCAGCCACGCCTCTCCCTGTAGGACCTCCTGTCCTTGACGAGTTTCACGGAAGCTGGGAACGAGCTGAAGCGGGTGTAAATAAAAGAGCGAGAGTTTTAGTGAAGGTGTCGACGGGTTCAGCAGAAGGACCGGCTCCTGCGGTGGAGTCGGGAGAAGTCAGTGCGGGCTGCTCCGGACACAAACGGTCGCAGCTGCTTCCCATGTTCTCACAGGTTAGCTTCTTCCTGGCATATTAGATGTTGTAATTTGTGATTTTCGCCGCGGGTCAACATCGGTTGTGGTGAAATTGACCCAAATTTTCGTGCTGATGTGGTACGTGTGTCTTTCAGGCGGCTGTGACGCTTGGGTTCGGACCATCGGACTTACTGACGGCCGTGATGCTTCACGACGCGTGTCAATTGCGATGCCGGCTCGGCGGAGCGTGCTGCCACCGCGACACGGTGCAGCGTCATGTACTCGCCCTGACGTGCCTCTTCGTCGCTCACAAAGCCAGGGCCGCGCGCACATCCACCAATTCCTTGAGGTTCGTCACGAGACACACTCGCTGCCACTCGCGTTCCCGTCTAGCCGCATCCGACGCCGCGTCTGTGTCCCAGCCAGTCTCAGAACTCGTATCTAAACGCTCGTTATGATTCTTCCCGTCGTTCTACCCTGCAGCACTGACGCCTTTTGCCAGACATTGGCATGTCTAGAGGGTTTATCGGCGGTCAAGGGGTGCATGCTGGAGCGTCAGCTCGACTGGGTGTCTCGCCTCTTCCCCTCCCTGCATCTCCCGGCCTCCGGAGACATGGAAGCCGCTGCTGGGCTCTTACGCAGTCTATGGTGAGTACCAGCTGGTTTTGGAAACTTACAGCTCAGCAGTGAACCAATGGTCCTCAATTTTGTCTTTTCAGGGGGTTGCTTGGAAGTTTGCGTTTTGACAGTAATTCTGGTGGCACGGGGGTTCAAACCATGCAGTTTTTTCTAATGTTGATGGTTCGTCTCTGCCAGGTCGTCGTTGTTCCGCGACGGGAACTCATCGTCTCACGCTCGTTACCTCGCAGCCTTCGTGCTTCAGCTTAGGACTACCGTTTTCGGCCGGATGAAGGTCCCTCCCAGTGTAGTAGCCGCTGCCGCTGACGTAGCTGTTCGCGGAGTCAAGTCGACAAGGAAGCAGGTAAGGACTTTACAATGGCTCATGACATGAAACCGATGTGCTATGAAAGGGGTTATTGGAGGGTTTTACGTCGCTTTGTTGTCTCACGTCTCGACCTTTCCTGTGCGATCCTTGTCCCTTTCAGGACCTGGTCCGTGCTTTCGCCTTGACGTCGCCAGCTTCGCAACTGCGCGGCCATACTGCAGGCAATGCGTCGCTCGCCAGGCGCGTTGCTCTGCCTGCTGACTCCGAAGCATCTGCTGTCGCCATGGCTGCCGCAGCAGGTGTTCTTACTGACCTCGCTAACTCGCCTGCTACCACTGCCGTCGCAGCTCCCTCGCGTTAATTTCTAACCAAGCTTCCCAGCTCCGGCCATTTTAATTCAGTGCCGTCCACACCATCTGATATGCAGACCAACTTCTAGATCGAATTTTCCACATCGGATTTACCATACCATGGCATGCAACCCCTGCAGAGCGTGCCATGCGATCCATCTCCCCATGACATGCCACCTCTGCACGGGATCGCTATGCTACACCACACGCCATACCCCATACCCCAGCATGCCACGGACCAGTCACGCGGTTGATCCTGCTCCCATCAACGCCTCCCTGGTCCTGGCGTGGCTCATACACACTCTGGCTGCTGTTGACTGCTCCCACCGATAATGCTTCAGGAGTGAGAATGGCCGCAGCACAAACTTGCTACAACAACTCAAACCCCCTTGGCGCCTCCTCCAGTGCTCTCCAACGCTCCCCAGCGCTCTTCAGTGCTTTCCAGCGCTACTCAGCGCACGCCACCTTTCCGTTTGGTTTGGTTTGAATGCCGTCTCTCCAGCAAGCCACGTCCCACTGTACACTCATCGAGTTCAGCAGTTTCCAGGGTGTTACCACATCCTTTGTCTTTGTGCTGTGTGCAGCTGTACATAAACCATGAGTTGATCTGTGTGCACGTAGTTAGGAGTTCTTATCCTATGTACAGCTTTTAATTATGTAATGAGTTTTTTGTTCAATCCTGGGTGACCACCACCTGCTTGGGATAGGGAAATCCAGCATCAGAGCTCAACTCCAGTTCCCCCAGCTGTTGGATTAGAGCATGGCATTTATCAGGCTGCATTAGGAAATGTGGGAGGACATTTCCCTCCAACCACCTCTCTGGTTATGGCCAATTTGGCTCTTCTCTTGCTTGGAATTTTTTTATTTCAAGGTTTCGCCAACACTATTTCAACCTCACATAACCTGAAAAAATACCATGCTGACCTCGGGCTTTAAATTGCACAATTACCATACAATCAAAACAGAAATACATGTGCTGCTTCATGTGACATGTCCAAACCTAAGCCAGACTGGTTGACATCTTGGATCAGACAAAGACATGACATCACATCACGTGCAGCGTTGGAATGGAATGGGAGGTGATGCAACTATTATAGTAGTTGACTATGCTTGCTAATCTTTACCAACTCATTATAGCTCATTATGTGCATGGCTTTGTTATTCTTTTTCCTGGTTATCCTCGTTGTAGTATCGCCATGCAACTAACCCAAGGCATCTTGAATGAAGTGCTGTTTCCGCGTTCTCGAGAATCTCTTTTGCTCCTCACGTACTCTCAACCTCAGCTCAGCCCACTTGTGCTGCTTTCCTCTCTCACAGCCAGCCGCCATGGATCTTTGCGTGTAATCACCATGGTTTCTTTCACCTTTTTTGCTGATCAGCACCTTCAAACTAGCGGCCATTTGGAGTCCATCGCAACGTTGAGACTAAGAGATTTTGCGGAAATCGAATCTATAGATTTGGCGGGTGGGCAAGCGAGAGAGCAGCATGGCGCGCAAGGGTTTAATGGAGCAGGATCTCAAGACGCTGGATGTGACGAAGCTCAATCCGCTGTCTCCTGAAGTCATCAGTCGACAAGCCACCATTAACATCGGTGCGTCCAGATCGCACTTCTTGCGTGCAGTCGGCCCCTTCTTAATTTCTATAACCTTTTGTTGACCTTTGACTGACCTTTTCCCCCCCATCTGCACCATTTCTTCTTATGGCGATTTCATTTGGTGCGACTCTCAGGTACAATCGGCCATGTGGCTCACGGCAAATCGACTGTCGTTAAGGCCATTTCTGGCGTCCAGGTAAGAGGGTCGGCGCTTTAAGCTCGAGTCAGCGTTTGGGGGAGTGCGGGAAACAGCATAGACCAGCGATAGATCGGGATCGTTCCGATGCGCATCCCACGCACGATTCCTCGCGTTTTTGCCATTCTCCGCAATCCTTTCCACGACCTCCACGACCTCCCTTCCCTTCCCACGCCTCATCTGCCGTTTCTTGAGACGACTCAAACAGCGCCCGCCCTCTACTTGCGCGACTGATCCCCCTTCCCGTGGATTGTTGTTCCACAGACGGTGCGGTTTAAGAACGAGTTGGAGCGAAACATCACGATCAAGCTGGGATACGCCAACGCCAAGATTTACAAATGCGAGGACGACGCCTGCCCTCGCCCCATGTGCTACAAGTGCGTAACAACTCGCTCTTTTCTCCTACTAGCGGACGATTTTGAGGGATTGAGAGCGGTGAACTTCGGTGTAGACGGGTTGAGTGATGTGGGGGGAGTTCTGGCATGGTTTGACCCGAGTCCAGGTCGAGGCTGATCTTGGCCCTTGAGGTTAGGATCTTTAATCTCTTATGTTTCTTTCGCGCGTGCAGGGCGTACGGTAGCAGCAAGGAGGACAGCCCGCTCTGCGACGTGCCGGGATTCGAAAAGGCTCGCATGAAGCTGATGCGCCACGTGTCGTTCGTTGATTGCCCGGTGAGGCCGTAGGTCATTGCAGAAGTGTGTGGTGCGCGCAGTGCTGCTGCTGATAGTGGCCAGTGTTAGCCTTTTTCCCTGATACGCTGTCATCTCCGCGTCCTCACTCCCACGCCACGCAGTGCAGCTGCTGATCGGCGTCCTTCGCAATACTAGCCAGTTCTAGCCAGTTCGCTTCATTCCGCGGACATTGAAAGGCACGCAGTCGTCTAGTCGCGCATCCTTCCGCAGTCGTCTCTTCGCGCATCCTTCCGCAGTCGCTCACCCGTGTTCGCATCGAACTCTTTCCAAGGGCCCAAGCTCGTGGAACCCGTACCGCTGCCGAGCGCACAGATTCTCCATGGGAAGTTCAGCTTACTCGACTTCTCCCCGTTCTTCCTCTCTCCCAGACCTCCACGCACCTCCGCTCCGCTTTTCCCCTTCGCTTTCCCCGTCTCCCTTTCCGCCTCTCCACTTACCCCCTCTCCGCGTTCTCCCTCTTCCCCGCCACCCGCTCTCTCCCCTTCTCTCCTGCTCCCCCTCCACCCTCCCACCCGGCAGGGCCACGACATTCTGATGGCGACGATGCTGAACGGCGCGGCGATCATGGACGGCGCGCTGCTGCTGATCGCGGGGAACGAGAGCTGCCCGCAGCCGCAGACGTCGGAGCACCTGGCGGCGGTGGAGATCATGCGGCTGAAGCACATCATCATCCTGCAGAACAAGATCGACCTCATTCAGGAGAGCGTCGCGCTCAACCAGCACGACGCCATCCAAAAATTCATCCAGGTGGGGGGTTGAGGGGGAACCAAGGTGTTTGTGGGAATTTTTAGAAATGACCTGCAAAATTTGTAGGTCTCAACCAGCACGACGCCATCCAGAAATTCATACCACGCACCGCACTCCACTGCTGGGCACCATAGCGGACGGCGCGCCGGTGATCACCATCAGCGCGCAGCTCAAGTACAACGTGGACGTTGTGTGCGAGATGATCATCAAGCGCATCTCCATCCCCTCTGCCCCATCCCTGCCACACCGCACCCCACCGCACTCCACCGTGCTGTACCACACTCCACCGCAGGGCACCATTGCAGATGGCGCACCAGTAATCCCCATCAGCGCGCAGCTCAAGTACAACGTGGACGTGGTGTGCGAAATGATCATCAAGCGCATCCCCATCCCCGACCGTGACTTTGTGTCGCCGCCCAACATGATTGTCATCCGCTCCTTCGACGTCAACAAGCCCGGCGCCGAGGTCGACGATATCAAGGGCGGCGTCGCTGGTGGCAGTATCCTGCATGTGAGTCGCTCCCTGCCCTGCTTGCTCCCCTCTCTACTCCTCCCTCCACCCTCCCTTTCCTCCCTCCCTCCATTCCCCCTCCTCCTTCCGCCAGTTCTATCCTCCCCTCCTCCCCCCCTCCCACCACCCTCCCTCCTTCTACCTCTCCCCTTCCCCGCTTCTCAGTTCTCTCCATTTGTACCCTCCTCATGGCCCTTTATTTCTGTCACCTTCTCATGCTTTTTCCATCCAACCCTCCTTACCATCCCAATCGTACAACAGGGAGTGTTGAGGGTGGGGCAGAAGATAGAGGTGCGGCCGGGTATCGTGGCCAAGGACGCGGACGGCAACATCCGCTGCACGCCCATCTTCTCGCGCATCATCTCGCTCTTCGCCGAGCAGAACGAGCTGCAGTTCGCCGTGCCGGGCGGGCTCATAGGCGTCGGCACCACCATTGATCCCACGCTCACCCGCGCTGATCGCCTCGTGGGGCAGGTGCTGGGGGAGGTGGGCGCGCTGCCAGACGTATTCGTGGAGCTGGAGGTGAGCAGTGGGGGGCTGGTGGGCATGAGTGTTTGGAGAAACGGGCATGGTTGTGTGGAGGTGGTGTCACATCAGCTGAGGCAAGGACTAGGTGCTGATGCTCAACAGCGGTTCCACGTCCCCTCCTCCCCACACTCCTCCTGCCCATCCTCCCATCCCCCCACACACCCCTCCACCCCACGGATCAATTTCTTCCTGCTGAGGCGGCTCTTGGGCGTCGCGTTCGCTCAAAGGGCACGGAGAAGCAGGGCCAAGTAGCCAAGCTGACAAAGGGCACGGAGAAGCAGGGCCAAGTAGCCAAGCTGACAAAGGGCACGGCGATGTGCTGATGCTCAACATTGGGTCCGTGTCCAATCCTCTGCACCCTAAACCCATCCAACCCCAACCCCACTTCCCCCCCTCTCCCTCCCTCAGATCAACTTGTTCCTTTTGCGGCGGCTGCTAGGAGTGCGCACCAAGGGCACGGAGAAGCAAGGGAAAGTGGCGAAGCTGACAAAGGGAGAGGTGCTGATGCTCAACATCGGGTCCATGTCCACTGGTGCACGCGTGGTGGCCGTGAAAAACGATCTGGCCAAGCTGCACCTCACCTCACTCGTCTCTCATTCTCTTGCTCAACACCTGGTCCATGCACCACCCCTCCCTTCCCCACCCCTTCCAACCCCCTTCCACCCCACAGATCAACTTCTTCCTGCTGCGGCGGCTGCTAGGAGTGCGCACAAAAGGCACGGAGAAACAAGGCAAGGTGGCGAAGCTGACAAAGGGAGAGGTGCTGATGCTCAACATCGGGTCCATGTCCACTGGTGCACGCGTGGTGGCCGTGAAAAACGATCTGGCCAAGCTGCACCTCACCTCACTCGTCTCTCATTCTCTTGCTCAACACCTGGTCCATGCACCACCCCTCCCTTCCCCACCCCTTCCAACCCCCTTCCACCCCACAGATCAACTTCTTCCTGCTGCGGCGGCTGCTAGGAGTGCGCACAAAAGGCACGGAGAAACAAGGCAAGGTGGCGAAGCTGACAAAGGGAGAGGTGCTGATGCTCAACATCGGGTCCATGTCCACTGGTGCGCGCGTGGTGGCGGTGAAGAACGATCTGGCCAAGCTGCACCTGACGTCGCCTGTGTGCACCAAGACTGGCGAGAAGCTTGCTCTCAGCCGCCGCGTGGAGAAGCACTGGCGGCTCATTGGCTGGGGGCAGATTCAGGCCGGGGTGAAGCTTGATGTGCCGCCACCTGTTGACTTGCCCAAGTAGATGTGGGATCATGGGTGCCGTACTTGTTTAGAGAAATTGGGTGACGGGTTCTGTAGCATGCAAGCACCAGAGGCATGGCTGTGGCTGTAGCATGCCAAGGGGAGGTGGATGGTGGAAGATGGGCAGAAGGAGAAAAAAGGGATCATAAGATGGTGTTGCAGTCAGCTGGTCCGTGCTTTGGGCTATACCTGGCTTTGCTTTTCACGTTTCTCAGGATTTGGCACTGTAGGCTAGGCATCAAGCATAATCACATTGCTTTCTTCTAACAAATTACAATCCAAGCTGGTTAATGTGCAAAAGATTGCAACACAATATTATTGTATGCTCACTTCCTGGTACCGTACAATCTTTTGGAGAGCAGCTGGTAGAAAACACAGCCATCATTTGAGGGCAAGCACGAGTGCAGCAACGAGGGCCAGCAGCACCCCGAGCACAGCCAGCAGCAGTGACACAGCCCTGCCTGCTGAACCCTTCTCCTTCACCCCTGCCTTCACAGCACTCTCATCTCTGCTGCCACCGCTGCCAGTGCGGGTGCTGCTGTGTAGCTTGGCAGGTGCAGTTCCAGGCGGAAGCCACACAGCAGCAGGTGCAGCAGCACTGCCCTCCATGCCACTCTGCTCCTCCTCTTCCCCTTCCACCTGCCCCTCCCACTCCACACCAACGCCCTGCTCCCTCACTGCCTCGTCTGCCACTGCTGCCATCCCACACAGCTCACTGCACCGCTCCTCTGCTGCCTGTGAGAGGGAAGATGGGCACAAGGGGAAGGAGTGGGTGAGCGTAGTGACTTGTTAGTGGTCTCAAAAAGGAGTGGGTCAGCGTAATGCAGTGGGGAGCACTGGCGCTGCCACTGCTGCCATCCCACACAGCTCGCTGCACCGCTCCTCCGCTGCCTGTGCGGGGGACGCAGAGAAGGGGAGAGGGCGAAAGGGAGAGAGTGGATTGGGAGTCTGGGAGGGAGTTGAGAGGGAATTGTGGATCGGGGCAGAGGGTCCTGCCACTGCCAAATCCCTCACAGCTGGTGGACAGACATGGGGCCATTGGGTCAGGAAGCCGGGCCAGCAGGTGGTGGAAGGGACAGAATAGTCAAACAGGCTGCAGCATCACACAACACGCATCGTGTTCCTCATATCAACCCCCGTCCCTCCCCTCCCATTCCCCTCCTCTCACTCCTTTGTAAACATAAATCCCACTGTTCCGCCTTTCCCTTTGTCTCACTTCCGCCCCTTCCCCCCATCTCACCTCCGCCCCCTCCCCCCATCTCACCTCCGCCCCCTCCCCCAGTTCACAATAGTCCGCCAGCAGCAAGCCCCCTTCCCCTTCTCCCTCCTCCTCCCTCCCCCCACGCCTGCCCCCTCCCCCAGCCACAGAGCAGCGCAGCAGCACCCGCCGGGGGAGGTGCCATCTGGTGAAGGGCGTTCTGTGCAGCTTGCCATTCAGCAATGGCCTCTCAATCACCTCCTCCTCCTCCACCTTGTCACTCTTCTCCTCCTCCCCTCCCTCCCTTGCCTTTCCCTTCAACTCTCCGCCTGCCCCTCTCTCCTTCTCCCCGCCCTCCGCCTCCTCGCGCTCCCCCTGTTCTGCCTGCTCCTCCTCTCCATCCTGCACCAGGTCGAGTCGGCTCACCACACTGCGCACCGCATCAACCTGAGGAAGGGGAGGGGAAGGAGGAGAGTGAGGAGAGGGGAGGAACAGTGACCAGACAGGCACTCCCCTTCTTGCACCAGGTCGAGCCAGCTCACCACACTGCGAACCACATCGACCTGGACGTGAAGGGGGGGAGAGGCGAAAGGGCAGGGTGGAGGAAAGAGAAGGGCAGGTTGTTTGAGGATGAGGGGAAGGTAGGTACAGAGAGAGCACTGAGGCACTCCTCCCCATCCTGCACCAGGTCGAGGCGGTTCACTGCACTGCGCACCGCACCGGCCGGGATGTGAGGGGGGAAGGAGAAAAAATTACTTGCGAGCACGTGAGCAGGGGGCAGTAGGGGCAGCAACGCACCTTGAGGTCGTGCAGCACCTTGAGGTCGTGCAGCACCTTGAGGTCGGGCAGCACCTTGAGGTCGGGCAGCACCTTGAGGTCGTGCAGGACTCGGGAGAAGGGATCTGGAGGCATGGCGAGGCAGAGCGCCAACACGCTGCCTGACAGCGCCACCATGCCATGCACTTGCCCGTCCTTGCTGGCTGCAGTGGTGGGAATGGGGGTGAGAGCCATGGGAGAAGGGAAGGACTGAGAGGACATGGCGAGGGTTTGCAGAGCATGGCGAGAGGCATGGTGAGGGGCATGGTGAGGGGCATGGCGAGGGGCATGGCGAGGGGCATGGCGAGGCAGAGCGCCAGCACGCCCCCATGCCATGCACGTGCCCAGCTTTGTTGCCTGCAGTGGTGCGGTGTGGGAGGGGCATGGTGACAGGGGAAGCGTCAGTGCTATGTGATGGGTGTGGGAACCGAAGCATGGCCTGCATGGGTTGGATGAAGGGGTGCGACGGCATCACTTGGCTTGGTGACTGAACACTGGGAATGTTATCTTAATCCATATTAAAAAAACTTAGATAAGCGGGCATATCTTACCATCTTGGAGAGGAACGTTCCAGGAAGGAGGGAGAGCCCAGTCCACACGCACGTGAGTGCTCCCCTCAGATGCCGCCTCCTCCCCTCCCTTCCCACCTCCCCCTCTGCCCCCTCTCCCTCCCCCCTTCTTTCCCCCTTTGCCCCCCTTTCCTCCCCCCCCTTTCCCTGCCTTTCCTGCCCCTCCTTTTGGGTTGCTCTCTCCCCCAACCACGTCCCCCCCTGCCACCTGAGGGAGGGATATGTTTGGAGATGAGGGGGAGAGGAGGGAACAACGTGAGAGAGGGGGTGTAAGGGAGGGGACGAGAGTGAGGAAGTTCACAAGGGCGAGAAAATGCATACATGAGTACTCTCCTATCTTCCCACCATGGGGAGCTGATGACAACACGTGGGTTGCAGAGACCATCCCATGCTTAAGGGGAGTGGAGCTCATACATCCCATGGTAATGCCTTCAACCGAATGCCATGTTTGAGGTCAACCAATGGATTCTTTCGGTTGAGGACACTACCGCATGTGCGAAATAATAATTATCACACCCTGCACCCACCATCACACCCTGCACCCACCATCATGCCATCAACGAACGCCATGCCTCCATCCATCTGCCGAGCTAAATGCTTCATTGCACTTGCTGCTGCTGCTCGCACCGACGGGGGCGAGAGGACGGGCGGCGGAGGAGGAGAGGAGGGAGGAGCGGAGGAAGAGGAGGAGGGTGGGGGGAGTGATGGGGAGGAGATGACTGGAACTCTGGAAGGAGGGGGGATTTTGAAAGTAGGAGGGGAGGGAGGGGAGAGGAGAAGGTGTGAGAAGAAGCGCAGATGGGAGAGGTGGGTGATGATAGAAACGCATGGGTCTATCAAGCGAGATGAGTGCAACATTGTAAAACGGGTAAGCTGAAACGCGGAACGGGGGAAGGGAGGGGCAGGAGAGGGAGAGACGTACTGAGCACGGAGGGAGAGTGTTGAGGAGACGAGGATTGGAGACGGGATGGGAGCGAGCTTGAAGTCGCACGGTGACATGGCAGCTGACGTGGCAGGAGATGACGTGGCAACAGATCGCGCTGAGAACCTGAGGAAAGGGAATCAAGAGAGGGAATAGAGAACCCACGTCAAGGGGGAGCAGAGGATGGAGGGGACCTGGGGAATGGGCATGTGAAATGGCAAGGCGGACATGCGACAGAGCATGTCTTTCAAGTGATGCATGGGTTTGCTTCAGTCCATACATGGCCATGATATGATGCCAAAAATTAGGCATTGGCCATGGCACTGTCGCAACAAATTGCACGGCTGGAAGGTGGTGGTGTAGCATGGAGTGTGTGACGTGGAAAGGGGGCATGGCAATACATGCATGCCACAGCATGAAGTGGCACGGCAATGCATGGCACCGCATGGCACGTCAGGGGCTGAGGTATGGCAGGGGCATCTGACCGGCGGGAGAAGGAGGAGATGTGCAGCAGAATGAGGTCCGAGGGGGGAGGGGGCAGCAGGGCGGCCAGCGAGGCGGGCGGCGAGAGTGAGGCTGCGAGCGAACGCAGGGCCTGGTGAGGAGAAGGGGGTGGAGAGGGGTGGAGAGGGATAGAGGGGGACGAAGGAAGTGAGGTGAGACAAGGGAGGTACAAACTGGGCTGAATGACATCCCGCGTGCCAGCCAGCCAGCCAGCAAGCAAGCAAGTAGCATGCATAAGGCATTAGAAGGCATCAGAAGGCATGGTATGCATAGCACGGCACAGCGACTGATTCACTTCTGAAAGTCAAAGGAGCGCTCTGCCTTGCGTTTAGGAGTGCTCTGTCGTGCAGTTGGGAGCGCTCTGCCGTGCAGTTGGGAGGGAACTTTTACCTGCAGCAAGGAGGGTGCGGCGTTGCTGTAGGCAGCATCGGAGCAGAAGGCGTATACCCCCAACACGCCCATGCCTCCCAGGAGCAACCGGGACACCTGTTGCAGAGGGGGATGGGGAGGAGGGAGATCAGTGGTGCAGGGCGAGCGGGGGAAACCTGTTGCAACAGGCCCATGCCTCCCAACAACAGCCGTGACACCTGTTGCAGGACAGGTGGGGAGAGGGGAGATAGAAGATGCGAGGTGAGTGGGCAATGCAAAGGACTGTACACGGCATCGGAGCAGAAGGCGTGCATCCCCAGCACGCCCATGCCTCCCAGCAGCAACCGCGACACGTGCAGCAGGGAGAGAAGGGGAGGGAGAGGAGAGATGGTGATGCAGGGCGAGAGGACCAAGGGAGTAGGCGGCACACTGAGAAAAGGCGCACATGCCCCTCTTGACTGCACGCCATGCCAGGGCGGAGAAGGCTAGACAGGGCAAGGGGAGGAGGGATCGGGGAGAGACTAGGCGATGGGAGGAGAGGCGGAAAGGTGAAGTTCTCAAGGAGAAGGACAAGGGCGTTTAACTTGAATTGGAGGGTAAGGTCTGTACCAGAAATGAGTGATACAGTCACACAGAGCCAGATAACCTCGTTACCAGCTCACCTGCAGCGCGTGTTCGCCCACCCAGTCGCCGTCCACATGCCGCCACTCCTTCGCATCCGACCCGCTCCTCTCCCTGCCGCCCGCAACTGGCGCCGCCGCTCCTGGCGCTTCGGGCGTTGGCACGAGCGCGAAGAGCAGGTCGCGCGAGGCGCCGGATGCGGCGGCGGCGGCGGAAGAGGAGGAGGAGGGGGAGGATTGAGAAGCGATGCTGGAACGACCGATGAGCAGTCCCAGCTGGTGGAAGGAGAGAGACATGTGAATGGAAGAATAGTATGAAGGAATAACGCCAGATTGATTCCGTTTGGGACGCGTTACGGAGCAAACGGGGCTCGCTCAGAGCCAGTAGTACGTTCCCCTGTATAAACTCCGTGCAATTTGACCTTGCCTCAACGAGCATAGGATCCGGAGTCCGTCGCAGTGCGAATGCCTACATCTCGCCGGACCGTCCGTCACCTACCGTGCCTCACCTACCGTGCGTCACCTACCGTGCCTCACCTACCGTGCGTCACCTACCGTGCCTACATCGCTATGATCTCCTGCCGCGTCGCGTCGTACCTCCCATGTCGCCTTCTCGCGGAAGAGCTTGTCGACGTGGCGCTGGATCGCCGTCTCGTCCGCCACCACCGCGCGCCCCATCGCGACCGCGCCTTACCGTTGCGCGGCTAACGCGCTATTGCGGCCAATCGGCGAGCAGTCAAAGCAAAAGTGGGATATCTACAACACGTCACGAATCACCTATGACACTTCGAATCGAATGTTCGAATAGATACTTAAGAACTGACTCGGCAGTAAGGCATTCGATAGCTAGATATGGTGGCTGTGATTTGTCGGCGGGGTCAGTATGCGCGCAATAACCAATTTGGGACGCGGGCTGGAATTTCCCGAATCAAGATCACCCAAACCAACTCAACCTAACCCAAACTAGCCTAACCCAACCCAACCTCTCAGCACGTATTTCATTTCCACCCGTCCTCCATTTTGATTTGCGTGCTACCGTACTGCACCTTGGTAGTATGCAGTTCAGCTCAGATCAGATCAGAACATTTGAATCGAAGCCACACCCGCCGTCGTGCAAACCCTTTCAGCTGCACTTCAATCCACCACACCGCCACGAGCGCAGATCGGGGACGTGATGGCGACGCAACGCAAATGCTGCTTCGATTGTAGGCCGACTTGCAACATTTCCCCGAACCGTCGCTGGACTGTTTTCCCAGAACTAGCTCGTCTAGTAACCCTATTTCGTGGGTGCCTTAACTGATCGCGAGCTTACTATTTCTCCGGTTTGTGATCGCCCGCGATATTTGTTCCCCCTTCCGTTCCCCCCGGCAGGGCCACGACATTCTGATGGCGACGATGCTGAACGGCGCGGCGATCATGGACGGCGCGCTGCTGCTGATCGCGAGCGAGCTTACTATTTCTCCGGTTTCTGATCGCGCGCGATTATTTGTTCCGCCTTCCGTTTCACGCAATTCAAGATGATCTCAAATTTAAAATTCGCAGTCACTAGCTTTCCTCGCGCTCCATCGCTCTCCGCTCGCGACGCACCGCGTCGTCGTCCATCCGCCCCACTCCCCGCCATGCAATACCCTCTTCACCGCACCTCCTTTGCCTGCTCCCTCCGTCGCCGCTCCGCGGTAAGCCGTCAGCCAATTTTGTTCTCCACTATCGCCCAGCATCCGCGCGTGTTTTTCAGTGGGGGGGGGGGGGGGGGGAAGGGAGGGGGGGGGGAGGGGGGGGAGGGGGAGATTGCATGGAGGGGGAATGAGAGGAGGAAAGGCGTCTGTTCCGTCACGTGCTGCAAGCGCCGTAGTTGCTGGGTTTCCTGCTGCTGCCACTACTCGTGCTGCTGCTGGGCCTGGTGAGAGCGTGGGTGGATGTGAGTGGGTCGGTGGGTGGGAGGGAGGGAGAGAACGTAAGGGTAGAAACTGGAGGGGGTGAGAGGGAAAACGGGGGAATGAGAGGAGAGAGAAGGGAGATTGTACGCCGCGATAAGACCCCTCCTTTTTCCCCCAATGACCATGTTCCTCCGGGCATCTCTTCCCGCTCTGCCATTGTCTCTAAAATAAATCGACTTATATCTGTGAAAATCTTCTCCCCCTCCCCTTTGACGGGCGGGCCCCCCTCCGCTCACCCCCTGCCAACAGCATTGCCATCACCGCACCCCTTCCCTGCATACGGTCTGCTCCGCAGCATTGCTGACGTGGCCGCCAGGCCCGAGAGGCAGGTGGGGAGAGGACGGGAGGTAGGTGGGATGGGGGTGGGTGGTGGTGGGTGGTTGCGGCAAGCTCACCTGCCCCCAATCTATGCCAGCACTCCCTCTCCCTCCCACCTCCATTGCGTTCCACCTCCACCACCCCCACCGCCCTTACCCACTCCCAACCTATCTACCCTGTGTGTTCCACGTGCGTTGCTCGCCCACTCCTCCACTGCTCCGCTGTGCTGCAATGCACTCCCTCCTGCCATGCGCCTCGCCTCACACTCCACTCCCCCACTCCTCCCCACTCTCTTACTGCATCTTGATCAAACACCCGACTTGCCATTCACATCGTTCCCGCTTTCTTCCCCTCCATTCCCCTCTGTGTTCCCTACACTCTTCCCCCTTCGCACACCCTCCCTTTCTCCACCCACACCCCGGCGAGTGCCAGCGTGGTGGAGCAGTATGGTGACGTGGCAGCGGTGCACATCACCCACCCTGGGCACCAGCTTGACTTGACAAGATATGGAGATGAGGTAGGTGGTGCAGGTCGTTCCATGTGTAACGGCAGCTGCGCCGCAGCATTGTGTGCCCTCGCTGCTCGCAGCTGCTGCATTGTCCTTGAGGCATCCGGCCACATGTGACTGGATTTGACAGCTTTTGCACCTGATTGCTTCCAACTGCACTTGTGAGTGTTGTGCGCATGTGAATGTGTGCGCATGTGAATGTTGTTCGTCTTCCATACCATGCTTAAAACTTCACTCATATTGCGGAACGTCCTACCCCATTACCCGGTTTGCCATGCTCTGGAAAACGTAGCTTAGGGACAAACTCACAGCCAGTCAGTTAATCCATCTGCCTCTCTCTCTGCGCGCGTGTGAGTACCCTCGCCCTACTGGCCTGGTTTTGTGCCATCTGCACAGCTTCTCATCTGGGTGTCGTGTCTTTGTTGGCCGTGTTGTGACCTGTCTGCGTTCTGCTTAGCTGTCCACTTGTGTCCTCTGTCTGTCGGTCTGCCGGCCTTCAATCGCCTTGCCTGCCTGTCAGTCCTCCCCTCCTTCCCTGCGCTCCTGCCTGCCCTCTCGCCCAACCTTCTCGCACCAAATAGACTACAGCATCCCTCACCTCTCTTTCCTCATGCAACTTCCCCTCCCTCCCATTTGCGTGATTCTGCAGTCCTTCACTCTCTCTTGCTCCAAGGATGGAGAAAATCGCGCCTTCCCAGAGGCGGCAACAAGAAGTGCAGCTTGCTGTGTAGCAGCACCTGTTGCTCTGGTGGAAATTAGAGAAAACCTAAAAGTAGCGGGCAATTAGCAGCTGGTTGGAAGGACGTGGTATGTTGCATGTGAATGTAGTGTTGTAATGAACTGTTTGATACATCCCCATGAAAACCTGGAAGCTTAGAGGGTCCTGTATGGAGATTGGGATACTCATGTAGGAACTCTTGGAACTCATCACAGCGCAAGACATTCACTACTGAGGCCAAAAATCAGAAAATTGTACGTTACGACTCTAGACATCCCGTGCTGCAAAGAACGTATTCTTCTCAACAAAAACAAATGACCATGTAAACAGACTACCTATGTTATGAGTAAACCATGGTGATCATGACCTTGATACACCATTTAAACAACTGTCTTGCCACTGTGCTCGTGTAACCTGCAACATCGCAACAACGAGAACCGCGACACCTGTGAAAGACCCCCCCTAGTGCACGACCCCGCTGTAGTGAATGACCAGGACTAGAAGCTGCTCAGAATGCACCTGAGACAAAAGAGACAAAGAAAGAGAAAGAAGGTTGCAAGGAGCAGGTTGGTCAGGAGGGATCAATCATAGTGGTGATCGGGACTTATGCAATGTGGCTCCAGTGCTATGGAGGGAGCTCATAATGCACTTGCAAGTGGATTAGCCAACGGGACAGAGTGTGAGAAACGGAGGAGGTTGCAGCAGGGAGCAAAGAGGTGAGGCACTTAGTTTGAGGCAGTGAGGTGAGGAAATGAGGTTAGAAAGTGAGGTGAGGCAGTGTGGTGATGAAGGCAAAGGATGCACCGCCGAAAAAACCCGCTACCAAATGCCACTGCAGCAGCACCAACAGCTCCGCCACTAAGTGCCACTGCAGCAGCACCAACAGATCCGCCATTAAGTGCCACTGCAGCAGCACCAACAGCTCCGCTACTAAGTGCCACTGCAGCAGCACCAACAGCTCCGCCACTAAGTCCCACTGCAGCTAGCGGTACTTGGTAGCGGCGCTATTGGTGTTGCTGCAGTGGCACTTGGTGGCGGAGCTGTTGGTGCTGCTGCAGTGGCACTTGATGGCGGAGCTGTTGGTGCTGCTGCAGTGGCACTTGATGGCGGAGCTGTTGGTGCTTCTGCAGTGGCACTTGGTGGCGGAGCTGTTGGCGCTGCAGAGAGCTAAGTGGGGTCGCTCTGTGGGGGCGCTAAGTGGGGACGCTAAGTGGGGGCGCTTAGTGGGGGCGCTATGTGGGGGCGCTAAGTGGGGGTGCTAAGTGGGGGCCAAGTGGGGTCATTAAGTGGGGACGATAAGTGGGGCCGCTAAGTGGGGGAGCGCTGAATCACGCCATCGATGCTCACCTTGACAAGGAGGCGTGTCTTCCCCTTACTGTCCCTCACAATCCCCTCATGGACTTGCGACTCCAATCAAACTCCAGCACCGCCTTCCTCTCCCACTGCTTGCCCCACCACTCGTTGGCATCTGCCATGGGCCAACGCGGGGAAATGGAAAGTGAAGTGGGAGAAGATGGCGGTTCCCAAAGTGGGACCATGGTTTCGGTTGTGTCAATCCCCAAACATGATATGTTGTTCCCACTGAAAACCCACTCAAGAGGGCCGATACTGCCACTACCGCAGCAGGGTCATTCCTCACGGATCTAGAAAGCAAGTGAACAGTAGGCACGCTGTGGGCGCCCCACAACGCACACACCTAGCAAGTGCGTGGCAGGCGCGCCCTTCCGCTTATTCCGAATGCTCAGCTGCATCGTGTCATCCGGCGCACCAATCTTCTCCGCCGGCACTCTCAGCGCCGCCTCTGTCGGTAGCCCCGACGCCCTGTACACGCCCCTCTGAGTGCTATGCTCGTGTCATTGCACAGGACAGCCGCTTGGGCGAAGATTGCGTGTTGGGAAAGGTGACTGAGCGCCCCCAGTTGATTATTTCGCCGTCAGCCGGGTTGTAAGAGGTTCCGTCGACGGCGAAGGAGAGGAAGGTGGACGGGAGGGTGCCTGGGAAGACTAGGGCTGACACAGCCATCTGATGAAGGTTGGGGTGGGCCATTTGGGGGTTGGGGGCATGTGGGTTAGACTCAAAGATGCTTGATGAACTTTATAAAAACAGCTAGTGAATACTTTTTCATTGAGCATTCCGATCAAATGTCTAGCCATCCTCGTTACTAGCCTTACCTGGTTCGTGGTCAGGGTGCCAGTCTTATCGGAGCAGATAATAGTGGTACAGAGGGAAGCTTCCTGACAATCGCATTCTTCTGCGCCATTTTCCTCGTTCCCAGAGCCAGGCACGTCGTGATCACAGCAGGTAACCCCTCGAGAATCGCCGCAACCGCCAATGCCACAGCAATCTTAAAATAGTAAGTGCACTCAGGAAAGAAAAGGTAAATCTTAAGCCCCCGATCCACCACGCGGCCAAATCCTCCTTCCAAGAGAGGAAAAAATTGTCGTTGATCAGCCAGACAAGCAGGCAAATCACCCCGATGACTGTGGTTAACCACTCTCCGAACTCATCTAATTCTTCTTTCGGGGTGTGTCGTCCTCTTCGGCTGCTGCTGCTGCGATCTGCTGCTGAATCTTACCTATATCTGTGTTCATGCCCATGGCTATGACCAGGTTGCAGCTGGAGCTGTTGACCACTGTGGTGCCAGCGAACACCATGCTCTCCTTCGCCTGGTAGCAAGGGAGGGAGCACAACGACGGAGCAGGAATGATGGGCACACAGCGGGGACGTACGAGACGTAGGTGAGAAACGGGACGGCAGCAGCGGCGAGAAGGATCTTCACAAGCGTGTCGTTAAACGGGTCTACCACCAGCTTCCAAAACGGCGTTCCAGGCTCCTTTTCCAGCTCGTTGAACCCGAATCGGCTTCGTCGCCACGCGACATCCTGGGGATCTAGTGTCAGAATGTTATTATCTAGCCTGTAGTGGGGTGCTCTATAGCGAGTACAACCCAGTTAGGGTTTGCTATATGTATCCCAACTGCTACTAGTGAAACCCCTCTTTTGTCATTCTTCTTTTGTACTACCTAGTATTCTGATATGCTATCAGAGCAGGTCGACCCCCTTGGGTCGATCCTGTGGGTGGGCCCGCCACCTAACTGCTTCCGCTGCTGTTCTGCTTCTCGCGCGCCTCGGGCGCGCGCCTTCTTCTTCGCCTTGGGCGAAAATTTTTAGGGTTTTCATCCCGCCGTGCGCTCGGGGCGCGCGGCGAGTTTCTGCCCGCCGTGCGCCCCGAGGCGCGCGGCGGTTTTCTGCCCGCCGTGTGGGACCCGCGCCGACACCCCGCCCTTCCCGTCGCGTCGCCCTGCAGGCCGCGCGCGGGTCTGCAGGGCGCGTGCGGCCCGTCTGCCCGTCGCACGGCCTTGGGGAGCAGCGCCCGGCCCCCGCCCTTCCCGTCGCGTCGCCCTGCAGGTCGCGCGCGGGTCTGCAGGCCGCGCGCGGCCCGTCTGCCCGCCGCGCGGCCTTGGGGAGCCGCGCGCGGCCCCCGTTTCCCCGTCGCGGCGCCCTGGGGAGCCGCGCGCGGCCCCCCGCTGACTCGTCGCGGCGCCCAGGGGAGCCGCGAGCCGCCCCCGGGGATGCGCGCGCCCGTCCCCCTGGACCCGCGCGCCCCTCCCCTGGACCCACGCGCTGCCCCCGGAACCTCCGCGCTCCCCCCCCGTCGACTCGCGCGCCGTCCCGGTTCGCCACGAGCGCCGCCCCCGCTGCTGCCCGCGCTCCTGTGTTAGGGTTTGGCCGTGGCGAGTGTGGGGGTGACAAGTGTGTGCGCCGTCCCCTGCTCCTCCTCCTCCTCCTCCTCCGTCTCCCACTGCTGCAGCTGCCGCTGAGGGGGGGTGGGTGTGTGGGAGCCGAGGGTTTAGGGTTTAAGGGGGGTGCCGTGGGAGTGGAGCTAGGGTTTCAGCAGGGGGTGTGTGAGAGGGGTGTGGGACGGTCGGGGGAGGTTGAGCGGAGGCTGCCGTCTTGTCGTCAGCAGCACCTGTAGTCCGGGGCGCTGTCCTGGTAGCCCAGTCGTAGCCAGCTGTGCCAGTCGCCCGTGGGTCCGTTGCTCCTGCCGCTCGTCTTAGCCGCGGAGCCAGTTACTCCAGTAGTCCGGGGCGCTGTTCCGGTAGCCGCTGTGCCAGTGTGACTCCTGTTGCCCGTGTGTCTGCAGCTTCAGCCGTCGCCTCCTATCTCCTCTCCTCTTACAGTCTCGCCTCCTCCTCCTCACTTGCCCTTTGTGAATGCCTCTAGCTTTGCTTATAATTGTGAACTATTACTATGCCTGCTCATTGTGCTGATTACACCCCACTTTGGCTATGGGGGTGTGTCAGAATGTTATTATCTAGCCTGTAGTGGGGTGCTCTATAGCGAGTACAACCCAGTTAGGGTTTGCTATATGTATCCCAACTGCTGCTAGTGAAACCCCTCTTTCGTCATTCTTCTTTTGTACTGCCTAGTATTTGTCAAATGTTGTATCTACTGCAGTTTGTTTAGGCTGCTGTGGGGTAGGTACTATGGGGTACAGTAAGTTTAGGGTTTCATACTTGTACCCAACCCTCTTGCTAGTCCAAACACCCTTTGTTCATTCTGACATGGTATCACGAGCCTAGGTTAGCCACCTAGGACCGCTTACTACTACGGGCCCACTATTCCGCTAGACGCGCCCTCGTGCGCCCTACCTTACGTGCGCCCTCGTGCGCCTTTCTCTGCTCGTGCGCCCTCGTGCGCCTTCTTTTAGCTAGTGCGCCCTCGTGCGCCTCGCCCTTCGTTCTGCCCGCGCGCAGCTCGCTAGCCGCCCACGCAGTTCGTACCGGCCTCGCGTGGCCCCTCGAGCCGCCCGCGACCTGCCTGCACGTAGGCAGCCGCCCGTAGGCTGCCCGTCGCCCGCAGTCGCCCCTAGGCAGCCGCCTGTAGGCCGACGCTCGCGCGTAGGCCGTAACCCGCGCGCCGCGGCTGCTGCACACCGACGACTGCAGCCCGCCGGGACCCGCGCGTCGCCCCCGGCTCTACGCGACGCTCTGGCGGGACCCGCGCGTCGCCCCCTGCCTCTTCGCGACGCACTGGCGGGACCCGCGCGTCGCCCCCTGCCTCTTCGCGACGCCTCTGCGGGACCCGCGCGTCCCCCCCACGCCTCGTCGCGACGCCCCTGCGGGACCCGCGCGGCGTCGCCCCTGCCTCTTCGCGACGCCCCTGCGGGACCCGCGAGGCGCGGCTCCTGCGCGTCGCGCCGCCTCAGCGGGACCCGGGCGTCGCCCCCGCTCGTCGCGACGCCCCTGCGGGGCCCGCGCGGCGTCGCCCCTGCCCGCCGCGTCGCCCTGCCCTACCCCGCGCCCGCCCTTTGGACGGCCGCCCCTGCCTCGCCCTGCAGCAGCTGCCTTACCGGCCCTACCCCGCCCTGCAGCAGCTGCCGTCGCGGCCTGCCCCGCCCTGCAACAGCTGCCGTCACGCACTGCCCCGCCCTGCAGCAGCTGCTGTCGCGCACTGCCCCGCCCTGCAGCAGCTGCCGTCGCAGCCCCGCCCCACCCTCCAGCAGTGGCCGTCGCGGCCCTGTCCCTGCCCTGCACCAGCTGCCGTTGCGGCCCGGTCCCGCCCTGCAGCACCTAGCCGCAGTCGTCGCCCCGCCCTGCAGCAGCTGCTGCGGAGCTCCCTGCCGCGGTCGCGGCCCCGACCTGCCGCTGTAGCGGCCTCGCAGTTGCCTCCGTCGGGCGCCTGCCCTTCCCACCACTGGTGAGCACTGCCCTGCCCGCGCTGCTACCGCTACTGCTACTGCTACTGCTGCTGCTGCTGCTGCTGCTTCTACTGCTGCTCCTGGCGTGGCCAGATGCAGCTCCAGGGCCGTCTACGTGTGTCCCTCATGCCCCAGCAGCTTCGTGAGTGGTACGCCAGTTGGGGCTGTCGGGGTGGCCGTAGTGGGAGTCGTCCTGGAGTGAGTAGTTCCGGAGCTTCTTGTAGTGGCCAGGTGCAGCAGCAGTGTCGTTCGCGCGAGCCTCTTTCGCCCCGGCGGCTTCGTGAGTGGTACGTTCAGAGTAGAGGGTCACTGAGTACTGCTCGCTGCCCGTACGTTATTCGCACAGGTGCCCGGACTGGTCAGCCTTGCGGGACGCTTGGTCACACAGAGTCCCGCTGCTTCGCCCGTCTGAGCGACGCTTGGCGTACAGCGTTCGGCGACGACGCTGAGCTCCCCGACTGGGTGGAGCTGCTTAGGCAGAGGGTAGATGTCTTTGCTCTTGACTATGATGCTATTATTGCTGCTCGAAGTAGTAGGAGAAAGTTTAGAAGCAGAAAAGGGTTTGGACTAGCAGCAGTTGAGATACAAATAGCAAACCTTAGATTGGGCTGTACTCGCTATAGAGTACCCCACTGCAGGCTAGACAAATACAACATTCTGACACACCCCCATAGCCAAAGTGGGGTGTAATCAGCACAACAAGCAGTCATAATAGTAGTTCACATTTTATGAGCAAAGCTAGAGGCAGTCACAGAGGGCAAGTGAGGAGGAGGAGGGCTGGCGAGAGGAGAGAAGAGTGGAGGCGACGACTGAAGCTGCAGACACACGGGCAACAGACGGCTCTGGTGCAGCTCTAGTGGCTACCGGGAGCAAGGGCCCCGGAATACAGGAGTAACAGGCTCTGCGTCTGATCAGCAGCGACAGGAGCAACGGACCCACGGGCGACAGGTGCAACCGGCTCTCTGAGCTACCGGTGGCTATCAGAACCCCGGAATACAGGCGCTGCAGACGACACGACGGCGGCCTCCGCTCAACCTCCCCCAACAGTCCCACACCCCTCGACACACACCCCCTGCTTCGCCCCTAGCTCCACTCCCCTTTCACCCCCCTAGTACCACTCCGTCGGCTCCCCACACACCCACCCCCCTGAGCGGCAGCTGCAGCAGCGGGAGACGGAGGAGGAGGAGAAGGAGGGGACGGGGCACACAACCGGCACCCCCACACCCGCCACCCCCACACTCCCCACCCCCAAACCCTAAAACGGGCGGAACGGGGTAGGAGCGCGGGGGACGGCGAGGGGGAAGGCGCGCGGCCCCCAGGGCGCCACCATGGGGCAGCGAGGGGCCGCGCGCAGCCCCCCAGGGCGCCGCGACGGGGCAGGGGGTGGGTCGCGCACGGCTCCAGGGGCGGCTCGCGGGTCTCCGGGGGGCGACGCGAGGGTCGACGGGGATCGCGCGCGGGTCCCGCGGGGCGACGCGACCGTCGACGGGGCAGCGAGGGGTCGCACGCGGCTCCCCAGGGCGACGTGACGGGGTGGCGGGGCGACGCGACCACCGACGGGGCAGCGGGGGCAGCGCGCGGGTCCCCCAGGGCGCCGCAACGGACAGGGCGGGGGCGCGCGGGGGTCCTCTACGGTAGGAAACCGCCGCGCGCCTCGGGGCGCACGGCGGGCAGAAAACCGCCGCGCGCCCCGAGCGCACGGCGGGATGAAAACCCTAAAAATTTTTCGCCGCGGCAGGAAGTCGGCGTCGCGCGACCAAGGCGCGCGACAAGTAGAACAGCAGCGGAAGCATTAGGTGGTGGGCCCACCCACAGGATCGACCCAAGGGGGTCGACCTGCTCTGATAGCATGTCGAAGTAGTAGGAGAAAGTTTAGAAGCAGAAAAGGGTTTGGACTAGCAGAAGTTGAGATACAAATAGCAAACCTTAGATTGGGCTGTACTCGCTATAGAGTACCCCACTGCAGGCTAGACAAATACAACATTCTGACATGCTATTCTCACTGCAATGTATGCATTGTCTATTAGTGTTGGGGGTGACTGTTACTTGTGCGTGCCACCAGACCCCGGCATTGCGACCAGTGAGGCTGCCGCTCTAGGTGCTAGTGCGTCTGCTGCCCCAGGTCCTGGTGAGGCTGCTGCTCTAGGTGCGGGTGTGTCTACTGCTTCAGGTGCTTGTGAGTCAGCGCCTTCAGGTACTACGTCTACTGCGGCACTACACACCTTCACACTGGACTCAGGTGCTTCCCGCTGTTTCTTTCGCGACCGCACTGCCCTAGAGCAGCTCCCTAGACCAGTTTCTGTCTCCCTGGCTGACCTCTCCGGGGGTCCGGTCCTTGCGACCTCCACTGTCCTCCCCTGTCCTGCGGTCCCGTCTGGCACCCTGTCAGGTCTTTACCTCCCCTCGTTCTCTACGAACTTGGTGGCGGGCTCTGCTCTACAGGACGGGGGTGTTCACCAGTTCACCCCTGCCTATGAGCGTGTGACCCACTGTACGTGTGCTCGGACGGGTCGCCACCTGGCTACCTTCACTCGGCAGCCGGGGTCGGACTTGTACACACTGACCACTGAGTCCCCTCAGGTCGCTGCGTCTGCGTCTGCGTCAGGTCAGCTGTCGGCCCCCTGCTTGTGTCGCTCCCTGTCCCACCAGACTGTCCTCTGGCACCACCGCCTTGGTCACCCGTCAGTGCAGCGCCTTCGCGGCATGCACCGTCGCCTCCTTGTCTCTGGTCTTCCCAGGGTTCTCCCTCCCCTCCCACCCTCGCCTGCTCCTCCCTGTCTTCCCTGTGTCGAGGGGCGGCAGCGCGCCGCTCCTCACTCCTCCGAGTTTCCCCCGACAGAGGCTCCTCTGCAGACACTCCACATGGACGTGTGGGGCCCCGCCCGCGTCCGTGGACAGGGCGGGGAGCGCTACTTTCTGCTGGTAGTTGACGACTACACGCGTTACACCACGGTCTTCCCCTTGCGCACTAAGGGTGAGGTCCCTGAAGTCTTGATCCCTTGGATCCGCGCTACCCGTCTCCAGCTGGAGAGGCGCTTTCGCTCGGACCTTCCAGTCCTGCGACTGCACTCTGATCAAGGTGGTGAGTTTTCCTCCGACCTCTTGAGAGCCTTCTGTCAGGGGGAGGGCATTGAGCAGACGTTCACGCTTCCGGCCTCTCCGCAGCAGAATGGGGTTGCTGAGCGCCGCATTGGCCTGGTCATGGAGGTCGCTCGTACCTCCTTGGTCCATGCGGCTGCCCCCCATTTTCTGTGGCCGTTTGCGGTCCGGTACGCCGCGCATCAGCTCAACCTCTGGCCCCGTGTCTCCGATCCGGACACCTCGCCGACACTGCGTTGGACGGGAGAGGTTGGCGATGCGTCGGTGTTCCGAGTCTGGGGATCTCGTGCCTTTGTCCGCGATGCGTCCGCGGACAAGCTCTCCTCCCGTACCCTCCCCTGTGTCTTCCTTGGCTTTGTCCCTGACGCGTCTGGCTGGCAGTTTTACCACCCTGCCTCGCGCCGTGTCTTCCCCTCTCAGGACGTCACGTTTGACGAGTCGGTCCCCTTCTACCGTCTCTTCC